TTTACAAATGTATTGTAAACTATATCAAAGTACGTAATTTTGTAAATAATTAATGATTCGCATAAGATTATTTTACTCTGATGATCGAAAATTTGCTTATTCAGACATAACTGATGTAAGATTGGAAACGCAGCTGTTAGTAACTTTGTTTACATGAGGTACGAACTTGATACAGCCATCAAAAAGAATTCCCAAGTTTTGCCTGTTTCATTAATTTCGATAGCAGCATCATCTAACCAAGCATTAAAGTTGCTTCTACCATGGTTTTGTAGGCTTTTGTTTTGAGGTTATGATTTTCTGCCTATTCATTAATTCCATATCCAGCAATTTGAGTGTTGGTACTATGAAGGTGCTTCTAGATCTGAGAGTGATCGGCAACGCATTATGTGGAAGGAGTCGAAGAACCTCATACTGGTATCGCAGAAAATTTAATTTCAAGAAAGCAGCATCACCAGTGATGACAAAATATTTGAAAAACCGAGCATATGTAGAAGTGAAAGACAGCCAGTCATAAGAAAGATTAAAGAAATTCGCTGGTTCAAATAAATACCACATAAAGACGCAAACGGAACGCCATTGGGCCAAAAACGCCAACCTGTTAGATCAATTAAAACATTATTAATATCAAAATTGAGAAAGGAAAAATGGACAATATGCCCTTGATATGATAGATATGTAGGTATAAAGATTGTTACCATTAAGGTGTTGGATAAAAAAATTGGAATCATTCCCACCCTATCCTTTATGCGTCGAGGTCTACAAAAAAGACGGATGATATAATACTGGTCAGATAGGTACTCCCTACGGGCATACGTAATTCATTTTATCCAACTCGTTGTTATAACAAAACAAACCCTGGATATATATTATGAGTACGAGACGTAGTATTTGTGTTCAGGTAACCGTTAATGTTAATTTGCAAGCAAAAAGCGGCAAGCTCGTTGATAAAATTGTGTAACCGAATATTTTATTCATGAAATTCATCATATAAGTTTTTGTTAAATACCCGTTTTGCTGTTTTCACATTTCTACTCATATAAGGTAGGATGATTTTCACTGGCACTTATGCAAGCAATTTATATTTATTTTTTTAGCATCTGTTATTCTTTAAACAAACGATTGGTGCAATTTTCAATGTAACATGCAGGGTATAAAATATGACTAAAATTCCATAGAAACATAGATCCGGAAATTCCCCATGATTCATTAAGAATCGTGCCAGCCATAAATTTTTGTGATAAGGAACGCATGCCACGATATTAAATTTGATCTCAAATTTGTATATGACAGCTGAAAGCCTGACAAAATAGACAATAAGAGTCATGTCAAGTTAAAACAAATGTTCACATCTCACGGTAAGGAAAGCAGTAATGTAGACTTGACATCCCTTGATATTTAACATAACAGCACTGATTTTAATGTAGCTCCACGATTGTTTGACCGCTAAACGAAACCGCATATGCTTGACTCAGTTTTAACTGACGCCAGTAATAAGTAATTCAAGCATATGCCGTTCCTTGTAGTGACTAGACAATTATGAAGCGCTACAGATTTTTGTCAAGTTCGCATAAAAAATTAATTTGCTATCATGCGGCCGTAACATAACAGATTCATGTACTGATTAATAAATGAAAAACCTTACTTCGAAAACACTAGAAGCAGTAATTTTTAAGTAGAATTATGTTATCCGAATTTAAGTCATTGATACTACATGTTTCAAAAAAGTCAAGTGTTTCTAGTTTCCACACTACTGACTGAATACATATACCGATTTTCAGAGTAAACTATCATGGAAACCGTGAACCCTTCCACACATAGATATTAGGCAAAATCACATAACCAATTTTCGAAGCTAACTCCAACAAACAACTTCCCGTTTCGTTGGAGAACTTTTTTTAACCAATTTGGTTCCAACGTCCAATTCTCAGTGTGCCGGTCATCGGAAGAAAGGAAAAAACGAGTGCATAGCAAAAAACTGTCGCCGAACTCTTTCCACGGACACAATTCCCAATTGATCAAGGGGGTGGTGAAGGACGGGAAAGGGGCATGAATCGTTATTTATTTGGACCAATCGAACGGTCGATTACCGACCCCTTTTACTACAAATTAAACTTAATTGGAAGCAGTCTGTTACTCCACAGAAATAAATTCCGACTATTATTTCTGGTTTCTGGGAATGCGAAAGCAGATTTAGCTTGTTGAAAGATTGCAGTTTGGATTATGGGCTTGCACTTCGAAGTCCTAATGACTCTTGTGTTGAAAGGTGTTCTTTTTGGACGATACGCAATAATATTAAAAAGATAACTATGGACCAAATGTACAAAGTGTTATAGCTGATTACAAAGCGAGCAGTTTAGTTGGTGTCATAGTAGAGAAAGACATGAACGTGTAGTCGGAGATTCTGAAGAATCAATCTGATTACGATAGTACTATGGTTAGGCCACAATTTATGGGAATGCCGGACTTTTTATATTTTACCTGCCGTTTTGTTCCTGAGATAATCTCTACCAGATTTACATCGGTTCTTATCAGAACCTCGATATTTTTCAGTACATATAATGGAATACATTTCCGCTATAAGCAAATTCAGAGAAATTTTTAAAAAACTGATTATATGAAACTTGAGCGGCATTAAATCACTACCAAAAAATTTGGGGAAAATCCATATCCCATTGCATTTTGTCTTACTGAAGGTTTTACGTTCTAGATGTTTCAACTCTGGATGCTTGCTACATACTGAATTTGTCAAACATCTCCTGTCGTGTTGAGTCGCCCCACTAGTCGAATTTGAAAAACCAGTGTGGTATGGGTTGTTATGCTTAATGCGAGCCCAAACAATGAAATATGCGGACACCTTTAAATTTTGTCCAAATTGTCCTATAAAATAACTGAACAAGATTGTGAACGAGTACCGAAGAATTGTTCTTTTATGTACTATGTATGTATGTTTTATTGGTAGTATATACAAATTGTGGCATAGTTTCAATAGTATCATCTGTTTTCCTTAATAATTAATGTTAATAAAAAAAAAAAAACTTTACAAAAATTTTTGGCAACTACACATTCTGACACTAAAAAATTTAACTTAACTAATAACTTGTTATGTCGCCTTAACTACCGCCTGAATTCTTGCCGGCATGGTCTTAACTAATGCTTGGCAGTTTTCCTGTGTGTGAATTGTTCTCTGGGGATGGTTTCTCAAATGTTGTTTCATTTTATGCCAGACCGTCTCTATCACATTTAAATCGGGGCTACTAGCAGGCCAAGAGAGGACATACTCCTATGTAAGTATGATCCCCAAACCATTTTTTTGTGCTTTTAGCGGTGTGGCATAATGCGTCGTCCTGCTGATAAATACGGTCTCCGTCAGGATATAAGTCTAATATGGTAGGTAATAATGTATTTATTCTCATTGACTTCTTGGTATTTAGCTGCATTCACTGTATCATCTATAAAATGAAGACCCATTCCAGTTGCAGACATACAGCCCCACACCACAATACCGTTGGGAAATTTTACTATACGTTTCAAGTATTTATGGAAGGATCCAGTTTTGCAGCTGATAATCCTTTTTCGGTGATCGCCTACGCATAAATTATGGTATCCTAATAACTAATTTCCTTAAGAGACCATTTCCTTAATTCAGCAGTACGCTAGAATGACCATCCCCTTAAGGTGACCGTTTTTTATAGGTCATTTCTTCGAATAACGACTGTTTGCACAGCTCTCCAACTCTTATCAATTTCCAAGATTTACAGGTGTTACTTCTAGAGCTTTCTGGAATATTTCTTTGTTTGACATTTAGCATAAACATCGCTGTGCCAGCATTCATGATTCATTCATTCTCTGACCGTTCAAAGTTATCATTCTGTACTACAACAATTGTACTGTGTCGACCGAAGTCTTATAATAATAAAAAAGCTACTTTACTGGAAACGAACTTTTATTCATACATCGACTTTGGCTTCGTCACTAACAATGTGACCTTGCTCCATTACTCGTACGTCCAAGAGCGCTTTGTTTTTGCCCAGTTAAAGCGTCTTTGATTTGGACTTCAGTTAGAACCGGTTTTTCGTTAGCCTAATTAAGGGAAACACATTTTTTCATTGCTTTGGAGTAATAATATTATAATACATACCTTACAAAATTTGAGTCCAGATTTACGAAAGTATTTATGGATCCATTTGTACAAAATGTGAAGGTGTCCGGATATTTAAATGTTTGGGCTCCTAGAACATGCAATGATAATAATATGCTTACCTTAATCTGGTACGAGTTCAGCTTATTCTTCGGTAACGCGTTGAAAGAACTGAAGTCTTGTCGCCGTGTGAAGATACCATTAGCGCCACCTCCAACACTGAAAATAAAGAAAAATGCTTTAACTGTTCGTTCAGCTGATGGTTCGGGTCATTGGAAAATTTTGAACTTGCGCTTGCCAAGACATGAATAATACCAATATAGAGAAAATGTCAATGTAAGAATCATCCCAGACATGTATGGGCATAATAAATTCCAGGGAAGACAAATATCCAAATAAGAAATGACATGAATATTACACCAACTGAAAGGCTGACAAACGCTAACATATGATATATGATACTTTTTATGAAATAGTGGTTATATATATTTGTGCGCATATCCGAGCTTATATAATGACAATCAATATTTATTTAACAGTAACTGGCATGCTAGAGGGTACTATTTTATCGACCGCACACGACATTACACCTTATGTAACCTTAATTTGTGTTTCCCTTTTTTGTCGATATCATACGCAAGACGAACATCGGGGTTCAGAACTACAGACAGTGACGGATCCATCTGATTCAATGCCACTTCACTACATCTTTTCTATTCACTGAGGCATTCAACAGCTGTTGGTAAGGAAGGGTACAAAATATGGGTTCAATATTTGGTTTTATTTTTATCGTTGGAAATCTTCATTGATCATCTATTCTACAATCTACAGGTGATGATTATTTTCTTTTTTTTCATTTCAGCGACCTCGTGGAAAACGTTTTGGAGAAGAAGATGGATTCGAGATTACTACTGCATGCCGCAGAGATTAAAAACGATTATTATTATTTAATGAGCGCAGTAGATTAAAAAAAAAATTAATCGTCAGTAAAAGCTGCATCCATTTATTCTATCTGCGTGCTTACTGTGGTCCCTCCATATTTACCCTGGAATGCGATATTTATTGGCCGTGTAACTTGGACCTCAGCATTTATACTATTACGTAGAAATCCAAGAACACTGATAATTTGAAAAAGTGTTCAAAGTGTTATTCTGTGTACATTTTAAAAAATTATTTGTTGTTTGGAATCCCTTATATTGGGCGAAAACATTTTTTCGATATGACCAATTTTGGTATCTCTAAGGTTATCTAAGCAGCAGAAGCAAAATTATGTATTAGGCATGTTAAAAAATAATAGATTTATTTTTGACAGTTATTTTATACAACGTAAGACTAATAAGATACACCTCCCAAATTTTGGATCCATTTCTGCAAAGGCATTCATTAATACTATGTTTAAGATACGCCTTTACGTTCCGTGATTAACAATTAATTTTGTATCTACTTACAAGGTACGCCCTTGGGTCTTATACAAAATAATGCATATTTCAAAAACATAATGTGTATTTATTCTAAAAAAATGCAGCTAGTGAGCACTTGTATTCCACATGCTTTAGCTCATGCAAAACAAAGTGATCAAATTAGCTTTTAACAGCTTTGAAAATATTCTCAAATGACTTTACAAAACAAGTAGTACTATACTAGTACGATAATAACACAGACAGTCTTAAAAGTAAATACTAAGATACCCGCATATAATAAGTCATCCAAACGAAACTGAAAATAGAAAAGGTGGAAAATTGGAACTAAAAACTTGTATGGGGTAGATTTGTATAAAACTGGACGTGCTCTGGTAAATTTAATACCGGGGTATCCCCAGTACATAGCGCCATTAAATTTTTATATTTTTCTAAAGATGTTAGACGAAGTTCCTTATTCAACCGATTAATAGTTGCATTTTGAAAAGGTGCAGGTTGCCGCTTTAAGGACATTGCATTAAGTATAATTTTTATCCGTATGATCGACTTTGAAAAATAGTTTGAAGGGATTCTTTTTGTTTACCATGAGTTCAAAAATATCGGTCCACTTAAACTGATTCCCCTCCTCGTCAACCCGACTTGAACGCAATCTAAGGTTTTTGCAAAACTTCGTAGGGTTTTGATCGTCGCGCAAGGTGAAAAATCTCGGAGATCCGCCTTTCAAAGGCATGTATTAAGGGCGTATCTTGGGAAGCGCCTTCACGTCCTAATTTATTTTTTTCAACTTCGAGAGGCGCCCTTTACCTTTTTTTTACTTCTAGCGAACAGTGCGTTTTTGACATTCGCCTTCACGTCACGGCTTGTGCTTTGGCGTATCTATCCAATTTTGGCCGAATTTAGAGATACGCCTTTACGTATTCTCAACGGCGATTAGTATCACAGTACTACGCTCACATCAACAAGTCGATAAAAGATGACGCCGTATGTGTGTAAGCGATTTTAAACGATTTTATAAGCTTGTGTCCATCAAATTTGCTGATTCAAGCTTTACCTCCTTTCTGTTGACCGATTGATCTGATATTTGGTACATATGTTTAGTTCTGATGGCAATGCAAGTATGTATATTCAGTGTCATTGCAAATCCGAGATGACGGAGTAGATGTTCTTCAACATGCTGTTCATGGTTTGCGTTGGCGAATTAGGAAAATGAAATACACTATGAAAAAATGTCACAGTCAAAATAGCCGCCACTACAAAATGGCGCATTACATATTATACTAAACCTTCCTCAGTATGGATGTGAAACGAAAGAGCTTGACTAGAATAATACAATACACTATAAAAAAATCGAATCCAAATAGAACACAGTATTCTTGAAACAAATATCTAATTTCAAGTTCAACGAGTTTATTGTGAAGAAACATAATACTGCATTTTCCTCATCAATTCAAGAGTTTCTCGGTTTTTAAACAAGAAGGTTGTAGTTCTGGATAATTTTTGCTACTCATCGGCTTATTTGATTTTTTTTCAAACATGATCACATCACTTCTATTATGTAACTTTGATAGGTGAGAGATGCCATTCAGTAAGAAATGTGTTTTTAAGAAAGTTTAGCGAACAGTTAGGGTAAAAACAGACATTTTTCATGCTAGATTAACAAGCTTTACATGGAGAATACTTCGCTGTATGGAAAGTGGTATTTTAAAAATTATGATAGAGCAAAATGTCGTTAGAACAGTGTAAGTTTGAGGAATAATTCTTCAATTATTTTCCACATACCTAAATTGGAAACTTCTCTTTATCCGAATACGGTTCTGTAAGAAACAAATTGAATTAGCATCGCCGAGATCCATATTCTTATACAACCTGCCTTACGTAATCTTTGTTAACGATTCCGCAGGAAAAAAGACGAACGGGCATCGCGCTTGAATAAAATACAATTGACACCCGACTGAGCAAAATAAATAAACTATTGAATGGGATTGAGCAACCGGCCGGTATACTAACGCCATGTCATTTCCATACGTGGATGTGCACAAGCTGCTGGTGCTCGTTGTAAGATATGAGGAAAGTTTAAGCAAAAAAAGTGGGGTTAGTTTCAAACGAAAAGTCTCTTTATGTGAGGGTTTTTAAGCTCATTTCCATATTGTCTAATTATTTTATTTATTTTTATCTTCTTGATATTCCAAAACTAAACTACGAGAATGCGTGCTCCCCAATCACCTGTAAAGATGAATAGCTACATAGTGTAATTTGGTAATACTTGAATAAATTTCGTTCAAGTTTAATGATCTGATGGTGTACGCCTTCCAAGTATCGTTGAAAACATTTGCCTCATTCAGTTCCACAGGAACGGACCAGCCCAGATAGAAACTATGAGTTTTTGGCCCTGAATGCCCTTCATAAAGGTATATTTTATTTTTCTTTCGGAGCACGTTAGTGTATAAACTCAGACGTTTTTCTCTTGTTTTGCGTTAATTTAGCTGGAGACAAAACAAAGCAAACGGTGAAACGGTTTATACAGAGTAATTAGAGACTCTTACTTTTTGCCTCATAAATTACATTTCTAATCTGTTGGACGAAGTTTTAATGAAATTGCCGCTTCCAGAACCTGATTTGAATACGCTTGAAATAAAATCGATAACATAAAACGGCACGGATTTGGCTAAAGGCTAGGCTCCTACGAGGGTTCGTCGGATTGGCTCATCATTTCAATGTTCCACTACTATTCCAGGATTTGATTTTAAGAACTTGTACACCTAAGAATCAGAAAAAAATAGCAAAAAGGGGGGCATCTATATTGAAGCAATAGTAAATCTGGAGCAAGAAACAGTTTCTGAAAAGGCTATTCTTGGTGGTTTCATTCACATTGAAATCGGTGATCATTTTAAGAAGTAAAGTTACACAGCTGTCAACTATTTTCTAACAATAAATTCGAAGACATCAAAAAAATGCATTCAAAGTACGGGTTCTGGTTCAACGCTCACGAAAATTCGCACTCAGTAAAAAGGTACATTTAGCACATGTATGATTCTGTGTCTGTTCCAAAAAATCACGTCAATATCTTTGATGTTAGCTCAGTAATAGCAGCTTCCTCCAGTATATATATATATATATACGTCATACAAAGAGCACCTTCAAACCTATAGTCGTCATAAAAATTTAGAGGTTGCTCTCTACCAACTAAGCTTCTAATCTGCTGTGGTGTTGTATACATAGATGTACTCTGGAGGTTTACCTCGTTGTTTTTCGCCTCTTTCTGATGTTTATAATATCAGTATCTAGACTGGCCTGTACATTGATCACAACTGGGGGCTTCTAAAAAATGTCAGGCGGTATGGACTCCATCTTTCTGAACCAGGTCACACGAACAAGAAGCAACTTAATCAGAATGTATTAATTTTCGTTTCAAGAATCTACAAAAACAGAAACTGTCCACTGCATTTCCCCACTCCCACATCCAACGCCTCCCAATTTCCAGTAGATAGTAGTCTTACAAGGTTTTGATCAGGTGAGATATGATACTTTCCCGTGCACGTCCATAAGGCGTACCTTCTACTGTTATCATAATCCCAAGCTTTATTTAAAAATTCAAGACTTGCAGCCTGTAGGTAGGGCTGCCATCCGTCCGGGGCGCATTCGTGCTAGTTTAGAGGGTGTCCAGGAGGGATTTTTTAGAAATGCCCAAGGATTCCACGGACACTTTCCGTATCAGGGGAATCTTGTGATATATAATACGAATGATCAAAAAAACATTTTATTGTATACCCTACAACTACTCGCATCACCCCGGGGCAACGACCCGCATCATCCTGTACAAGCATATTAGCACCTCCCTGTACAACCAGCCAGGCGACGCCATCGTATTCCGCGTGCGCAGAGAGTCAATCTGATGCCCCGATTTCGTTTCATCGCATATCACCCAGTGAAGAAGTGAATCTCCGGTGAATCACTAGCACATTCACATCTGAACCTTCGCAACACGACCAACATAATATAATACGTTCTATTATAAGAACATGCCTATCCCTCACTTCTGTCTGCAACAAAACATTGGCACATACTGTAATGCGTACGGGCACTAATGACATTAGTGCAGATTAATTTTGCCCTCTAAAATTTTTTTCTCAGGAAATCTGTTCGGTCTTCGTTCCAAATAATTTACTGATATCCTTTCATATGAAATGTAATGGCAAAAAAATGAAGTATACCGAATTCCTTTTATTACCAGATTATCTCAGGAAAAGAAGAATATAATTTTATTAACAACGACTTGAGAATTTCATTCGTTACGGTGTGAGTTTAAGTGTATTCTATCAATTTATATTCAAACATGGTTAAATAAATCGCTAACGACGTTGTTATTTTTATAGTAAGAAAGATTATGAGGTATCCAGGAAGAAATCTCAATTTCTGGCTGCCATCGGTAAACAGGTGAAGGCAGCCCTACCTACAGGAGATGCTTACGAGCACCCCTGGTATTTATTAAAACTCATTCTGAACCGGGTAACGC